AGCAATACTGAAAAAACCTCTGTACTATGATCAAATAGGTGTTTGTACTTTTTACTGGATACTAATTAGCAGAATTTTACTGTTACGTAATTCTAATTTTCCTTTGAAGTTAATGGTTTCTGTAACAATTGTCCTCTTTTTAATAACTATTATATCTTTTGATATCAAATACAAAGTAGATATAGCTTACCTTTATTACTATGTCATTAAAATTTCTAACATGACCTTGCTCTAATACATTAGGATCCATTTTAATTCATTAATTTATATATCACAATCTCAATCTCCATGCTCATTAAATAGGTAAAGATTTTTTGTCGTATGTTTCTTTTTAATGTTTTTATTAGTGATAGAATAATTTATGACCTTTTTATGACCTTTTTATGCTATCTGAATTTGAAAAGGTAACTTTCAAATGTGTGCTTCCCAGGATGTCATTAAAATATAAATGCTGCACAAAGACACTTTAAAAGTAAAACTTGAGATTGAAAGATTTTTTTAAAGTATGTTAAAACTGAAAATATATAATAGTAGATACAGATATAATTATTTTATAAAAAGAACCCAAACCTTCCTAAAAACAAATTTTACATTTTAAATAGATAAAATGATAGATAAGAACTTTCTAGGCAGATAAATTCATTCTTTCATACTTCTCTTTTTCACATAAATTTTTATCTATAAACTAAGGCAGAATAGAGACCCAAGCATTTACTACAAATTTCAGTAACATAATTTTCTTCACTTGTATTTTGTTTCAAAGCTTCAAGAACTAATAACAAAACCTTTATGAGATATTTCCCTTGTTTCACATAATACAAAGTACAACTTTCTTTTAACTCTGTACAGTGGGAAGGAATTTTTTTCTGTGTTTTGTTCAGTAACGTAAACTTCTCACTTAGTAGCTTGGCACCTAATAGATACGCACTGAATATTAGTTTAATAAATGAATGCTCTACAGAAGAACATTTAAGATTGTTGATCAGCTAAAAGACAATAGCAATCCATCTGTAACTTTTCAGAATTACCATCCAAGATGATGTGCATGCTAAGGTCTTAGAACTTACCACTATGTAAACAATCACAATTTTTTAAGTTGAATAATAGCTGAATAATGATTATCTTCTAATGTTAAGAAGCAAATACCATGAATTTTTAAAATAGAAATTTTAGGAATCAGCATATCCTAAAACACTTCTCAATGGAATCCAGATCATAAATATACTTGGAAAATCAGGACTTGGAAATGTCTTTGCAGGTTTATAAGAGCATTCAGAAGCAACAACACCCTAATAACATAAAAGATTTGTTTAAGCAGCAGTGCCAGAGTATTGTTTTTCTTATTTTAATTTTTTTAATAAGATTTATTTATTTTTGTACAAGAGCTGGGGTACAGGACAGAGGCACAGGAGGGTGAGAGGATTCACCAGAGACAGAGTGGGGAGCAGAACAGGCAGAAGGACTGAAGGAAGACACTGCTGAGGGAAGCAGCAGGCAAGGCAGGAGAGGTCTGCTGCGCCATGTGGGTTTCTCCCTGGCTGGCCAGGAATCGAAACTGCGCTGCAGAGGCTGCGGACAGCGCAGCGCTCAACCTGCTGCACCACGGGGGCGGCCCGCCAGAGTATTTTATAGTAATTCCAAATTGCCTATGGAGTCTTTTTACTGGTTTACTGGCATTAGTTAGAGTTAAAAAGAACAGCAGGTTTTTTTTTTTTTACCCTAATGTTTTCTCACACAGTAGTGAGAAATATAAAATAACATTATGCTTTTCCCCCTACATAATTTTATTAATAACTTGAGACTACAAAAATGCTTCATTCATTTTGCTAAAATATGGGAAACCCTACAAGGTTGAAAAACAATGAAGATATAAGAGCATTTATCCAGATAAAAGTAAGTTGTGAATCTCACATTATGCATGGTAGTGCTCATTATAATAAAGAAACTAAAATTAAGACAAACTATTTTATAATAGCTAAAATGATAATAACTCAAGGATGACTTATTAAAACATTTAGTAAATCACTCTGAAGAAAACGAAGTGTTTAATCATAATCAGAACATCTATTTTTGCCATCTATTATAAAATGTCGTCACTGTGTATGCTCTGGAGTGAAAAGGTATATACTGAGATAGAAAGGGAAAATAGATAGCTAGCTTATACAAAGAATTAAGGTGAGTAATTCCTAAACCTCATGAAAAAAAAAAAACATTTAGAATTAAACTAACTTGATCTTTATTTTAATTTTCCATACAAGAGACTATCAACTTAGCCGTTAAATTTCTTAATGCTTATGCTTTTTATTTAATGGCTTATCCTTACACCTTTAAGATTCAATACAGGCAACTGGTTTCTACAAAGGCTTTTGGTTTTTATGGAGGTTTTTTTTTTTTTATTGCTTTTCCTGCAAACTATTAAAAAAACTCAAATAATGATCATTGTTATATTTAGGAAAACAAGAGGCTTTTCAAAATCTTGTCAATAACAAAATAAACCTTAATAAAAGACACAATTATCATTTCACAATCAAAAATAGTCATGCACATAGCTAGTGCAAGACGTAAAAAATTAAGAAGTCCACAATCCATAGTTAGAGTAAATAATTGTGCTAACTTCTAACCACTTTGCCGTACCATTACAGCCCTTTAACTTTTCTAGTATGATTTACCAATTAGGATGACCTTCTTGTTGGTAAAATGAAGAGTTTGCTTTTAATAATCCTATACTTGTCTAATTAACTTAAAGCTTGCAACAATTTCACGGTTTAGAAAGAAAAAAGTGCTCATAGACCCCAAATTAATACATCTTAGAGGCTAAGAGAATTCTAACTCTGTACTCAATATAGTGGAAATCCATGGACATTTTTCTTCAGGAGTTTTTATGTATACATGCACACATGTATTTTTAAAAAGTGGAGATGAACAGATGTAAGTTGATGTCTTCTATATACTAAGGATATGTTATTGCAACTGATGTCATACAGATAAAGAAAGGATGACCTTATCCTCAATAACAATGTTCATGATAAAAAAAAACTTTTACACTAATTTATGCAAAATCATAAAAACATCAACAGCCACTTGATTTTAAGTAGGAGAAAAGAAGAACCAGAATTTCCAAAAGTCTTAAAGATTCTATCCTGTTTCTTTCTATAAAATATTTCAAGCATCCTATAAAAGATTTTTAAATTGACTTCAGAAAAAGTAAACAGGTAAAAAGAAAAGTACAATAATGTATAGCTGCACATTCATAAATGGGTAGGAAGAATATGAAAGCATTGCTGTGGTTCAAAACAGAATCACTACAAGGACTGTCACATCTGATAAATGTATGGTCCAGCTAAGTTTACAGAGACCTAAAATCTAAAACAATGAGGACTATTAAAGGGGAAAAAGGAAAAATCACTGACTGTAGAAGAAAATTATCACCCAGTTCCAAACACCTCTGAATACAAAAGCTGCAGTGAGAAATAACAAATGTGCTCAGCAGTTATGGTCATCATGGAACAGAAAATGATGTAGAGAAGAAATGAAGAAAACTAAATTTTTCTTTAGGAAAAAAGAACAAAATTAATGTCATTTAATTTTCTTATAAAAAACCCAATATAATGCAAAATCTCTATTCTGACTCTTTGCAAACATGACTAAAACATTTGCGAGCACACAAATGTTGCCTATCAGTACTCAACTTCCACAAATACAGATTAAATAATTACTTTTACCACCAAATCTAAACTGAGATGTATTAATAGAAAATAGAAATTAAAATAGCTATCATGAGTACCAAAAAGACAAAAATGTAGTTACATTAAGTTTCTCCAAGGAAAATACATAAACTAGATATTGATGGTATTTTAGTCTTTTGGGAGAAAAGGAGTTAAACTTTAGAGAATGAGAAAAAGGGTTTCTTAATTCAATATTATAAAAATGTAATGATAAATTACCTAGAAAATGATAGCTTTTCTAGAATAAAAAGGTAAAGAATAAAAATCCATGGCCCAAAACATGAGTACAACCACTAGCTGTTTTTGTTGTTTTATCTGGTTTTTTGTTTGCCTGAGAGGGAGAGGGAGCATGACAAGATGAGAAAGAAAAAATGTAAAACAAACAAACAAAAATAAACTAATACTAAACTAAAAGCAGCTGTGAGAAAATAATGTATGCTTTAATGATGAAAGCTACTGACTGGATGATATAATTTCCTAGTATATTTTGATATTTTAGGGAAATATCAACACATTAAGCTCCGAATCCTAAGTTTTTAAAAAATAACTCTCCACCAACTGGAATAAAGAAATTTTAAAAAGTTTATGAAACTAATTCTAATATGACTTGTCCTCCTGTTTTTGCATATATGTTGTTGAGAATCTATATAGTTGCATAAATCCTATATAAAAGGTACTCAATGAGACCAGACCGATACATTCTGAAATACATTGTCAACGTTACCAAACAGCTTTGACATAACATTTGGAAACAAATTAATCAAATAATAAACAGAGGTATTATAATTGATTTGTTCATATACATATGCAAATCCATGTGTAGTAAACGCATTATGAATTCATATGTAATTTAAAGTGTTATTCTTAATTCTACATGTAAACAAGATATAAGGATTATACATGTCTCCTACAGAGATTCAAATTTGACAACTGCTAGACATAACTTAGTCAAATTTAGAGTAACAAATTAGGAAAGCAAAAAATGCATAAAAACCCATTTTTCACACACAGATTTTGAACAAACATGTAAAGCATGGACACCCTTTCCAAAACATAATATAACACAGTGTAACACAAGAAAAAATAACACCAATGCATTCATTTTTACTGTAGTTCAGTGTAATTATTAAATTAAAACCTGTAGGGATAGCCAGTTTTATGCAAATTCAAAGTATTTTTCCACTTGCAAATTTTGTATAATTATGGTTAATCTTATAGAGCTATGCATTTTCTTCAAAATAGCTTATGCCTTTGTACATAACTTGGATCACGTACCCATGCCTCTGTCTGAATGGGCCTGATGTTGCTTAATAGCACCTCTTCATAGTTTCCATAATCAATGAATTTAACAACTGCTGTCATACCCGAAGAATGGAGAGCTTCAACTTCTGCTCGGTAAAACTAAGGAGAGAAAAAGGAATTTTAAATATGACAACATTGTCACAAAGGGCAATATTTGATAAAAATGTAAATACTCAATGTGTTGCAGTGTGTAATTTTTTTTTGAAAGTTCATTTCTTTTTTAAATGAATTAATTTTTTACTGATATAACTGACATATACCACTTCATTAGTTTTAGGTTTACAATGTAATGATTTGATATATACATATATTGCAAAGTGATTACCACAACAAGTTTAACTCCCATCACCACACAGGTAAAATAACTGTTTTTTTAATAATGTGAACTTATCAGATTTACTCTCTAAGCAACTTTCAAATTACAGTATTTTAAAGAAAGTTTTTTTTAAAATAATAATATTTCTAAGTAAGAAAGCTTAGTGTGGCTAATCACAGGTTGAATAAAAATTAGGTAAGTTCTCTCTTTTATATGAATTCTGACAGTCAGCAATAATAAGATTTTAGAACACAACTAAGTGGGTTAGTAGTGAATAGACACATGCTAACGGTATTAAAAGAACTAGTGCTATGGTTTGCTATTAGTCATTGACACCCTTTGATTAACTTTAGTAAAACAATTCTTACATATTCATCATAGTATATAATTTCAGATAAATTTATGTAAAAACAAATAGATGGCAAAAATAAATGTTAATGAAGATGGTTCACTACTGCAGTCATTACAGAGGGCACAGGCAGCTGGGGTAAAGTATGGATGTGGGGTAAGGAATAAGCAGATTCTTGTATTCAAGATTTATAATATTTGAGACTCTGCAAGACCAGATAATTCTATCAGTTTACCCAGTGTTACCTGGCTCTAGAAACTGACACATGTAACAAACTCAGAAGACACCAATTTATACAACAATAATGTATCTGATAAGATAACTAGGAGTAAATCAACTGATTGGAGTTCTCTTCCAATATAGGTCAACCCATTCAGGACCTAACTTAGGTCTGAATTTTGTTTACTGAATATGAAATGGAAATCAAAAAAAGCACTTTTTCCAAAGGAATATTTTCTCCCAGCTGGTGTAACTGAATGCTCTAATTCTAACAGTATCTTTTTTTTTTTTTTTTAAGATTTATTTATTTATTTATACAAGCACTGGGCATGGTCAGAAGCACGGGAGGTGAGAGAATTCACCAGAGGTGAGAGAATTCACCAGAGCCAGAGCAGGGAGCAGAACAGGTAGAAGGACCGAAGTACACTGCTGAGGGGAGCAGCAGGTAGCAGGAGAGGTCTGCGCGCCATGTGGGACCCTCGCCTGGTGGCCAGGGATTGAACCGGCGCTGCAGAGGCTGCGGGCAGCTTCACCACCCAGCACTCAACCACTGCACCACCAGGGCAGGCCCTCTAACAGTATCTTTTAATGGGCTCACCAGAATCAGAAAATGCTAGAGGTAACAAAAATTCTTCATTTCTTTATCTTTCCAAAATATGAGTTACCTTTGCTACCCAGGAAAGAATCCGGTTTTTACTGTTTTACCAGTACAGCTCATACTTACAAAGGTTATTAAGTTAATCCACGGTGTTTCTAGATACGGATCTAGATATGGGTCATAACTGAAATTTTCCTTATCTTCAAGTTCTTGATACACCTTCATTTCACCCCCTTCCTTCTTTATTTCTCAGTCTTGCACTTTTGTGTTCTGTGAATTCTTTGGAGTATTTCCAGACCTATCCTTCAATTGTCACCATTTTAGATAATGATGTCAGTTCAGGTTAACTTCAACAATGAAGTTATATCATGGAAAAAATATATAAGTAAACATCCTTTTAATAACTTAGTTTAATAAAGAAAACCTGTGGGAAAAAAAACTATATAATGTGGGAAATACTGAAATATGTAGTGACATGGCACTTAATAAAGCTAAGGAGTTCAGTATGAGCTTACTAGTGCAGATGACAATGGTTACAACTTCAAGTATAAAGCAAATTTAGTTAAGTAAAGAACTGAGGAGAGTGTTTTAGGGAAAGTTAAAGAGGCCTAAAACATGAAGATGGGTACAGGAAACAAAAAATAGTTTAAATTTATTTAAGGCATTATGTGAGAAATGTCAATGAATAGGAAACTGGAGAAGGAAAATGGACAAGAAAGTAACGGCCAGCTGACAGGGCATCTGTATGCATGCTAATATCTTGTATTTATTCTATGAGAGAGATTTTAATTCAAAAGAGTGACAAGATTCAAAACCAGGGTCACAGTGATGGCAGTTTTGATGGCAAGTTTAAGAGAAATAAGGTTTAAGGCAAAGAGACCTTGCCATGGAAGCCATTGTAACATTCCAGTGTAGAGGGCAGAAAGAGCTAAACCAGTCTAGGGAAAGAGAATTGTCCCAAATTCTCAGGCAAGATACTGTGAGGAATTTTTTAAGTGATTATACTAATTAATTATCTCTAGAACATCATCACAATGGAGTTAAAATTATGGGTCTTAAAGACAGTTAAAACCAAAGCCTTTCCCTCAATCTCTACCCTGGGCTCTGGTTAGAAAATTAGAAACTTCTCTTCTTGGAAAGACACTTAAAAGTTATCTCTTAAATTAGGTGGTTCAGAAGGCAATTAATTTCATCTTTTCCAGAGGTGCATATTGTTTATCTTACTTAACACTATAGTCTATATGAAGCTCATAGTTACTCAATCAAAACTAAAAGTTACAGACATAAAATCAAGGTAGCTGCGTTAGAAGATCACCCAATAATCCTAAGACTACTCTAAAAAGCTCCAAACATTTTAGGAAATGTAAAGCACTATCTTTCAGAAGCTATAAGACCTTATTTTGAATATTTTCAGCAGAAGCAATAATTATTAATTTTTTGAAACAATTACAATTAAAAGTAAAATTTTATTAACAATCTCATCAGGTATTGGAAGGTATTTGGGTAATATGAATAGCACACCCAGTACTAACTGATATACCAAAGCACCTGACACTAAGCAGCTACTAAATTATGGTCTTTACAAATACAGTGTATTTGTTAAGAACTTGTCTGCTAAATTTAATAATAACTGAATAACTCTAAGTCTATTATTACTCTCTGCTGCTTTATTAGTTTCTGATCATTAATATTCTTTTTTTCTTTAAAATCCATGCTCCTAATTTTTTATTGAATGTCAGACACTGCAGATGAAATATTGAAGAAAGTCCAGAAAAATATTATTTTTCCTCTGAGAGGATTATATTCTCTTTAGGCAGACAGAGCAAATATTCTTGATCATGTAAAGGGCTGTTTTTAGGCTTTTTTCATGGCTTGCTGGTATTAGTTTTGCACTTACTAGGGCACAATGCTTGTGGGATTTCAATTGAAAGTCAGAGTTGTTTTCAAATGTTTGAGCCAAACTCTCAAGAATGAGAGAAGCTGGTAGGTGAGCATGGTGGGTATAAGGAAAAAAGTATGCAAAACCCTTCTCCCTGAGGGTCACCCTGTCCTCTTGCCTTTCCTTTCCTCTATGTTGGTCTTTTCACACTCAGCCAAACTATTACTCGATCTTTAAATAAAACCCATAGAATTTAGCTTTGGCTACAACTAATTTCCTTCCTTGTAAATCAACATATTTGACTAGAAAGAAAAACAAATATTATAGTTCAGTTGTAAGTAACATAACTCATCAATTTTACTTACTTTTACAATACTTTTCCAACACATGAGATAAAATGAAACCTAACCTAACCAAATCTATGGGGCTGATTCATCCCAATCATCCATAAAAAAATTACATATTTTGTTTTCACTCTTTTATAATTATGTCTACAAATCTGTTCAAAGGTTTGTAACAGGTACAATTATAGAACAAAACTCATAGCGGCAAAGCAATGGTTTTCTATAGTCTCATTAGATATTACATTATTGATATTAGTACATACTATCTTTCATCATGCATACCTTGTTATCTTCCCAATAAAGTGCAAAACATTCATCTCCAGGTTTCCACAATTTTGCATACTCCATAGGAATAGATGATTCTAACACTTTTTCTGGTTTAATTGGCCCGGATCTTCTCTTAGGCCCACTATTATAAAATACTTTATTATCATAGGGTGCAGCTGAGATGGGTCCTGTTGGCTTAATAGGTCCTACTCGTTTTCCCTTCAGTGTCATTTCTGTCTCTCCATTTGGAACACCAATGAAACTATTAGTTTGAACAGGAGTCTGGTAATCAGTATTTACATTAAAATGTTTTTCAATTTTCACACCACTAAATGCTTCATTATTTATTGTTCGTGATTTCCTGTCATAAAAATGATCAGGATTTGCTGTTTGGTTTTCTCTTTTCCCACGTTTTTGATTATTGTAATCTATGGAGTCTTGGGAAGGTGGGTTTTCTTTTGACTCTGCATAGGATGAAACTCTTCCGGATCTGCTTTGCATAGAGTTATCCCTTTTTTTAAAAGCACCATCACTGGGCTGAGAACTTAAAGGATATGAAGTATCTTTAGTTCTGTCATATCTAGAATATGGTCTATCACACTTGATTCTCTCTTCAGCCCATACTTCAGATGCTGAAGAAGTACTCGGTCTTTCGGAACCTCTGTTTCTAGGTAATCCACTGCTTTCTAAAATTGACTTTGAAGTTTGCATGTCTCTTTGAAAACGAGGAGGTTTTTCATTTCTTGGCTGCCTGGTATCATTTCGAGGAAGATATCTTGGTTGATTATTATCTTTTACTCCATTTTGCTCAGTATTTAACAATCTGTGTTGTCCCTGATGGAGTTGCTGCAGTTGTGATTTAGGTTCTGAAAAGTAAAGGTACATGATATGCATATTAAAATGAAGAGTTTGCATTAACAACTATTTCAAAGTGCCTAATAATAATAATAATTACCAAACTACTATTTAACATCATCCACTATCCTGCCACCTTGTTATTTTAATTCCTCTCTGCTACCTTAGAGTCTTGTATTACTAATGTAGTTTCCCTAGTCAGATATAATAGTGAAGTAAAGCAGTGACAGGAACCAAGAAAAAAATGGTGCAAAATTGTAGAAAATTTAAAAGCAATGTTTTTTTGTCATTGTAAGTTTGCATCTTTATAACATAGTTATCTATATGCTACACTGATGATTCATTTCACAAGCCATTAATGAAACAAATGCAAATTGTAATCTCAGTAGCATCCATGAAACTATTCAAATACACAATCCTTGCTCAACTCTCCTCTGAATCCTACTCCAATTTTGAAGTGTATAGCTATCACAACCTCTAGCATTTGCAAAAATCTTTTTCAAATATTCTATACCTGAAATTGCTAAGCATTGGGACTACAACTGGATACGATACATACTATAAAAGAGTTAACAGTTTTCTTGACCTATCAAAACAATTACATGATGTACTACTTAGAAATACAGGGAAAAAAATGCCAAAATATGATTAAGCACAGTTAGTGTATACGGAAGCCAAAACCAAAAATAACATGGTAAAACTATATTCATAGCTATGGTGAAAATACATTCATAGATAATGCCACATTGTATGCCTTGTAGTGTTTTTAATTCTGTTCTAATTTGTACTAACATTTATACTTTCTTCCTCCATTGTGTCATACAGCATGTCTATAACATACCAAACATATTGATTGGTTTTTGGGGTATACGTGTTGTTTCTCTTGCCACATACTCGGCTCATAATATTCCTGAGCAGAGGTACCTTTGACATTTTGGGTAAAACTATTACCTACATTGTAAGAAAATTAACTTCTTTCATCTCTAGGCACTAATGCCAACTTCCTTCTTACACACATTCCCACCTTTGCCAGTTACTGTGATTACTAAACCTATCTCCATACATTTCCAGACACTCCTGAAGCCAAATGATACCAGTAAAATGCTAGAATAAATGGGAAAACAAGAAGATTTTTAAAGTTCCTGAGTGGCAAAGCAAGTCCCAAATTTAATAGAGAGATCAACACTTAAAGTAGAAAGAAATTCTCAACAGAACTACTGGAAGATAGAAGTCAATTGAATAGGCTGAAAATATATTTGAAATTAAGGGAAATTATTTTCTAAATATAACTCTATATGCAGTCAAACCTGTGACAGATTAGTTGTGACAAAAAATTTTCAAGCATGCAAGGCTAGACAATTTACAAAAATCATTCTCCCCCAAGATGTGCTTCATAAACCTAACACAAATGTCGTATTTTTAACAACTGTAGTCAATATTAACTTTTTCCTTAGAAGAAAAATAGTCACCCTCAGTTTCTGCTCACACTATTTACTATAAAAGATTCAAGGAAGCAAAAGAAATTGAATATAAAGCAGGACAAAAATGAGCATATTCAGCAGAAAGCATGTACTGGCACTTGTCCCTATCATTATTAGGGGATAAAAACAGCAGTTGCCTCTTGCAAATCTGCTATGTAGTAGCTACCCCACACTAGCACTTTATACATATGATCAATAATTCCTACCATAGTCCTCAGATATAGCTGTCATGAGGTCTATTTAACAGATATAGTAAAGTTCCTTAATAGTGAATTGAAGAAAAATTTCAGATTCTAAATTAAATCAAATATAAAGGTATTTTATTTGCCATCAACCAGGTTTGAATAGATAAATTTGAGAAATAAGCAATTTAGATCTGCTGTTAGTTTAGAGATCAATTTTTCTCAAATTATTCCAGTCAGGGCCATAAGTATTTATGTATCGGGGGTACAAATAACGAGGCCATCAAGAACGTAACTAAGTATCCTGAACTATAGATGGGGGTCTGCATAACTATGTATATAGAATGAAGGCTTTAACTGGGCTTGTTGATGTGAAGGAATTTGATTTTAAAGATTTTTTTTAAAATTTATACAAGAACTGGGGTATAGGCCAGATGTGCAGGAGGGTAAGAGGATTCACCAAAGACAGAGTGGGGAACAGAACAGGCAGACTGACGAAATACACTGCTGAGGGGAACAGTGGGCGAGACAGGAGAGGTCTGCTGTGCCACGTGGGTATCTCCATGAGATCGGCAGGGATTGAACCTGCACTGTAGAGTGCTGTGGACAGCTTCACAGCGCTGCACCCAACCACCTGCGCCACCAGGGAGATCCCAATTTGATTTTACTTTTAAAAGAAAATAAAGTGGATTTCCTAATCTATTTCATTGATGATATACATTAGATTACAGAATAAGTATTTTTTACTAATAATGAACATACTTAATTCCCATTATTATGCAAAGATAATAGTGAAAGAAGAAACTATAGAGGAATTTTTTTTAAATAAGAATTTCTCTTAACAAGAACTTAAATAAAGTCATTGAGGTTGAAGACAAAAGTATGCTTTATAAAAACACAGTATCTATATTCCTCTATTAATTAAAAAATAACAGTAAGTCAAAAAAGTAAGCTTCATCATTCATGGATTTCCTTAGACCCATCTTTTTCCTTGGGTAGTTAAATAGTGATATAAACATAAAATATTAATCTTTTAAAACTGAGCTAATATATTAAACAAAAAAATGTTAAATTACTAAATCGTGGGAAAGGTGATTTTAAAAAAACTAAGAGACAGCCCTCAAATAAAAGGAAAATTCTGTTATTCAGTGAGAATCTAGTTGCACTCTTCTACCCCTCTAGAAGAGGCATAATGATCCAGACCTCCCAGAACATTAACTGGCACCACCAACAAGGCCAACTCTGCAATAACATTATTTTTTTTTAAGATTTTTATTTATTTATTTATACAAGATATGGGGTACAGGCCAGCGGCATAGGAGGGTGAGAAGATTCACCAGAGACAGAGTGGGGAGCAGAATAGGCAGAAGGACCGAAAGCACTGCTTAGGGGAGCAGTAGGCAAGACAGGAGAGGTCTGCCGCGCTATGTGGGTTGCTCCATTGCTGGCCAGGAATCGAACCTGCGCTGCAGAGGCTGCGGACAGCTTCAGAGAGCTGCACTCAACCTGTTGCACCACCAGGGAGGCTCCACTCTACAATAACTTTAAAAATAAATATACCAAGGTATTTTTCTAGTTAAGCAGTAGAATAAAATGCCTCACAGATTTTTGTTAGTGACCTGAAGGGTGCTGCACCTCCCCCTGCAGTGACCTTTAGGGTTAACTGTCCCTAGGTCGGCTGGGCAACCAGCGTGCAGGGGGAGAACAGTAAAACCCTACATACCTGCTGCACCTCCCCCCGCAGTGACCTTTAGGAATGGCTTTCGCCAAGGTCCCTAGGTCCGGCTGTGCAACCAGCGCGCCAGGGGAGAACAGCATAACACCCTGAAGCAGAGGAAGTACAGCGGAAGTTCCCTGAAAAGACAGAAGCTTATCAAAAGATAACGACCACCAGGAACCACTACAAGAATGCTAAAAATCTTATCCCTTCTTTTTAGAACTACAAACTTTAATCCCTTATTGTCTTTCTAAACTTCCTTCTTCTATAAAAGTCAGTGCTTGTTATGTAGATCACCTCCCTGATGGTGATAGACTGAGCCCATGAGCAAGCTGATTTCATTGATATTCTTTGTCCCTGTGCTTTTGGAAAACATATATATATTGGTCACAAACTCAAAGAAAATTACATTCAGATTTTCACTCTTGAAGTGTGTCTGTTTGTCATTTCTTTCACCGACGCCCTGACCACCCTGCACGCTTCTCTCAACCCTGAGGTGGCCTCATCGTCTACTGCTGTGCTGGTCCGCGGCAGAAGGGGAAAGATGAAACAAAAGATAAATGGAAATTGGTAACATTTAATATCAAATAGAAGAAAATCAGAAAATGATTAGCAAAAATGATAGAAAAATTCATCAAAATAGAAAAACTGTGAAAACATCTTTAAAAATGAAAGTGCATTTAAAAAAAAAAAAAAAAACTAGTCAATTAATTCTGCAGGAGTTTTAGTCTGATTTTTAATAAGATGTTCCTATTATACCAGATCATGAGTTTCAAAATGTATGTTTTCAACAGAACTACAATGTGTTACACTCCCATAATTTTAAAATAAAGATTATTAAGGATGAATATATTAATTGACACAAAACATGTAAGTTTGTATATGAGAATATGCTGAATTAATCAGGTATCTTAAAATATTAACATTTCTTTGCAGAATATTCACTCTCTAGTTAGGGATGTATCTGCATTATATAGTACAGTAGAAAAACAGGCATATTTTGTTTTGCAAGATGACTCTTCATTTTATTCTAGACACCTACCGGAAGAATTGACTTAATATTTATTAAAATTTTATTATGTGCCTAGCATTACTTTACATGTCTTTTGCCTACTTTACTTCAAATTTAGTCTCATAACCACTCTGCAGGACTACATATGTTACTATTAGTGGTAGAAAATTTTAAACCAGGATTTAAACTCCAATCTCATGGAAGCCAAAACCCAGGATTTTTCTACTATAGAGGCCAAACTGTCCAGAGAAACAATACAGAATGTAAACAACATAACAACATGTTTGTTTCAATGTCATCACCTACAACTGTTCATTTATTGTAAGATGCTGAAATCACAAATCATACACTGAAAAAATAAATGGTGGGCTGAAAAAATACATCTGGAGACTAAGACTGCTAAAATTCTGACCTGAAATTAATAATCTCCTTCCATTAATGCAGTAATAACTCAAACCCCTAATAACATGGTTCTGATATTCACAGGCTCATAAACTGGCACTCAGAAAGTACAAATATAGGGTACAGCCTCTGGAGAAGAATAGCACTGGTAACATCACAGCTATGCTACTTAGTAGTTCTGTCACCTTAGGCAAGATATTTAACTTTACTGAGTATT